TGGTTGTTTGGTAGCAAAATTTCATGCAAAATTTTTGAGTCCTTTTAGGAAATTTCGGATCTCACTTTTTTGACCAAAAGTTTTTTTCAGAGCGTTTCCATCTATTAGTTATGAAAGAGAAATCAAAGGAGTTTTTGTAGCCCGAATCCTTCTCATGTTTTAGGAAATAAATTTTTGTAACAACTGAAATAAATTGTTTTCCTAGTTTTTTTCGCTAACGATTTTTTCAACAGAATTCTTTTCAGTTTTTCACTTTTCGTTTTTGACACATTTTTTTCTCCGATTTTCGGCTTTTTTTTGTATTGCAACTGACACGAAGCTCAGCTTCGCCTCTGTTTAGAAATTGCGTTTTAATGCTCATGCTTCTATTTTTATAGATGCAATGCGTTTCTGTCGTTGCTCATATTGTAGTTTTTCAAACCTAATTTTGTGTGCGATTCAATTGTTTTTTAATCAATTAAACATTTTGTACTAAAATACCCGAGTCTTTTCTAGCTGCTATACCTAGCTCGTTTATGACTGCTTTAAAAAGCTTAAAAAACAGCTGATTCCTGTTTTAACTGCTGATTGATCTTTCTTCTTTATTGGTTTGAAAAGCTTTCATTTATTGAATTTACTCAAGTTCTTAAGGTTACGTTCACTGAAATAGCAAACTGGCTGAGGCATAAGTTAGAAAAATGCATGATCGAATATCGTGCATCAAATAAGATTATATATCTATTTTCTCCGATCATAGCATATTTTAAATCAATCCTTTTTTTCTGATTTTTGTTTCTGCATTGAAAAGATTGCCTTATTTCGTCATATTCTCTCCCAAATCCTTTTTTGAAGCCAGACGTGAGTAAGTTACGAAAACAGTCTTTTAAATTTCACAACACAGTGCGAATTTGTTTAGGGCAGACCTGCATGCAATTTTTGTGGCACTGAGACTATTGTTCAAACAACGGGACAATTCCTAGTAAGATATTAGTTTTAATTTGGTACGGTAGTTTTGATTCAAATTATCTGGGCGAAATATGGAAGTTTTGGCGCATAATTCTCAAACGGCATAAAAATGGAAAGTTTCCCATGTTTCATGCAACAGTTGCATTTAAAAAATCAAGAACAACTTTTTTGTGAACAATGTGAGAAAATTAGTCAAGTTGTTAATTCAAATATTGATTGACATTTTAACTTGAAAAATTGTATATTTTTTTATCAAAAGCAAAAAGCGTAAGCTTGCGGTTATTGATAAGCTTCTTGTGGTCAGTTTTTCCGACTAATTTGTCACTTAACATTTGTTTTGGAGGCAATTAATTCATTCTAAATCTTGTTCACGTTTTCGTTCCTGACAACTTAAGAAGTCCCTATGTGGACATGTGTAAGAAGTCCTTATGTTTGCATGTTTAAGCTTTTTCAGCGTAATATTTTTTGGACGTTTAAGCTATACCGTATGTGAAAATGCTTAAGAAATTTCTTTTGGCACATGTTTGAGTCTGTTGGTCTGTTAAAAGGCCAAAACATTGCAAGGTTTGAAAGTTTATACATACATTCTAAACATTCCTATATAGTGGGGTGCCGTCAGGGTACTTATAAGTGTTGCAAATCTGGGGTTCAAGTATGACTGTTCAAAACCTTTTGGTTTTCGAGGTATGGCATTTTTGTTTTTTTTTTTTTCATTTTTTTTTTCAAAAAAACTAAGATATAAAAGCAAACTAACCTAACTTCAATTTCTCAACCCTATAATGGGTTGATGTCAGGGTACTTTCAGGAGTTGCAAATCTGGCGTCCAAGTAGGACTGCTCAAGTCCTTTTGGTTTTCGAGATTTGAATTTCTCAACCATATAGTGAGGTACTGTCAGGGTACATTCAGGGATTTCAAATCTGGCGGCCAAGTATGACTTCTCAAAACTTTTTGGTTTTCGAGATATGGCGTTTTTTATGATTTTGTTCAAAAAAAAATTTAGATGCAAAAAAAACTAACAGAACTTGAATTTCTCAACCCTATAGTGGGTTGCTCTCAGGGTACTTTCAGGAGTTGCAAATCTGGTGTCCAAGTAGGACTGCTCAAGTCCTTTTGGTTTTCGAGATATGGCGTTTTTTATGATTCTTTCATTTTTTTTTTCAAAAAAACTTAATTAGAAAAAAAACTAACCGAATTTGAATTTCTCAACCATATAGTGAGGTACTGTCAGGGTACATTCAGGGAGTTCAAATCTGGCGGCCAAGTATGACTTCTCAAATCTTTTTGGTTTTCGAGATATGGCGTTTTTTATGGTTTTGTTCAAAAAAATATTTAGATACAAAAAAACGAACAGAACTTATATTTCTCAACCCTATAGTGGGTTGCTCTCAGGGTACATTCAGGTATTGCACATCTGGCGTCCAAGTATGACTGCTCAAATACTTTTGATTATCTCGATATAGCGTTTTTTATGATTTTTTCGGGGAGTTTGACCAATTCTTGTCGGTTTAGTTGCCGATTGTGTTTGGACTCTTTTTGTACACAAATTGAACATCAGTCCAGACAAAGTTTTTGTACTTATGTTTTTTTGTTTTGTAGTTTTTTTTCTCATTTTTTTGTAGACAGTGTTTTTCATTCATTTTTTTCTGCTAGCTTGCAATGATAAGTTTGGGTGATTTTGCAAGTGTTGCAAAGCTCCGGGTCGCCTCTGTAATTACCCTTGCGATCAGCAAAGGTATTGCAATCGGCTACTAACTTTTTTTCCCGTAAATAAGGTTGTTCACAGAATGGTCAATTAGAAATGGCAAAGATCATAATCAATTCAGATTTTTTGCGTCTCCGGCAGACTTGGTCTGGAAGACGCCTGGGATGGCAAAGGTCCTGGGGTCGAATCTGACGGGACCTGTTTTCTAAAACGATTGTCGTCTTATTGTTTATTTGCTTGTTATGTCGGCCTAGACGCCAAATCATATTATTTTTTTGTTCTGCGCAGTTCACTTTAAAGTTGCTTTTAAGGTTTTAAGATTTTCTGCCGCTTCAATGCTACTAGCCTTTGACTTCCTATGTTTTTTATATTCTGGTTTTGCCCTAGTTTTTGTCAGCTTACTCGCCGGGTGTTTGATTTCTTTAACCTTTTTTGAAGATTTTTTTAATTCAATTTTTTCCTAATTTTCAAGAGGGTATATATAGTTTATGGTTTCCTGGTTTTTAAATACGCCAAAACTTTCTGTTGAAACAAAAAATTTTTGAAAGAAAAAAAATTGCATTAAATGTTCAGTTTTTTTTTCGTATGCAAGGTTTCTGATTTTTATTTTAATCTAAAATTGCGTGGAATTAGTTATAGTTGTAATTGGCTTGGTTTGTTTTAAGATTGAGTAATTTTATTTAAAATTGATTCAAGCTGATGCCATAGCGTATTGTTTTCATATGTCGAGGTTTTTCGAAGAAATATTCATAAATTTCTAAATTTAGGAAATAAATTTTTGTAACAACTGAAATAAATTGTTTTCCTAGTTTTTTTCGCTAACGATTTTTTCAACAGAATTCTTTTCAGTTTTTCACTTTTCGTTTTTGACACATTTTTTCTTCGATTTTCGGCTTTTTTTGTATTGCAACTGACGCGAAGCTCAGCTTCGCCTCTGTGTAGAAATTGCGTTTTAATGCTCATGCTTCTATTTTATAGATGCAATGCGTTTCTGTCGTTGCTCATATTGTAGTTTTTCAAACCGAATTTTGTGCGTGCGATTCAATTGTTTTTTAATCAATTAAACATTTTGAACTACAATACCCAAGTCTTTTCTAGCTGTTATACCTAGCTCGTTTATGACTGCTTTAAAAAGCTTAAAAAACAGCTGATTCCTGTTTTAACTGCTGATTGATCTTTCTTCTTTATTGGTTTGAAAAGCTTTCATTTATTGAATTTACTATACTATATCTTGTACCTTTGTTATACTCAGGCGCGGATCAAGGAATTTCTCGAGGGGGGGGGTCGAATTTTCAAGAAAAATTGAAAATTTTGTCTTTTTTTAGGTCGACCAAATTGATTTTCTGAGCTCTCGCCAACCACTATAAAGACCCTAATTTGATCAAATTTTATGCGCCGCAGGAAAATTTTTGAAAAAAGTTTGAAAAGGCGTTTTTAGGCACTTTTTTGATTTTTACCAATAAATCGCGTGTTTTCGGCGCGCGCTGCCCCCTCAAAATTAGTAAAGATTGGCGCCCAAGGCGCCTAAAATTTTAAGGTCAGTCAGCCAAAAATGGATATCTCGAAATAGTACAAAGGGGGACCCTTTGGGTCGGCAGGGGGTCGAATCCCTGAGGGGAGAGGGGGCGTCCCCCCCCCGTAAATCTGCTACTGGTTATACTCATAAATTCAAAGTCTTTTCAGAATTTTTTCTCATTCCAGCTTACATTTTCTGATAGAATTTACGAGCTTTTATTTTTTAGTCCGATGGTTGATTGCGTTTTTTGTTCAACTTATTTTCCTCGAAATGTCAACTGTTTTCCTGGAATCATATTTTATTTGGTCTTGCGTCTTCACTTTTACTAATTAATTTGACATATTGCGCGTCAGCCGAATGAATAGACGCAAATTAAACAGGAAGCCAAGCTATTGAAATGCTTTTATCACAAACTGCGAACAATTATAAAGAACTTTTTTGCCCAATTTTGCAAATTAAAAGTACTCCATCACAAAAAATTTTCAGAAACAGATAAAATTAAAAAGAAATACCTTCACCAAATGCATTTTCTTTCCGCTAATCGTAAAAAAATTACCATTGCTAATGGGAAAACGCCGAAGTAGCGCGGCGCTAATTTTACTTTCAAGTATTGCTTATACTTTCAGGCGCATTACATTCATGTAGTAATGGCTTAATGGACATCACAGGAAGGAAATTATCCTTCTGAATGTTAAAAAAATCTCTTCTCATTGCTTTTTAAAAATGGCATTTAGTACGTGCTCGTCCTGGTTCTGAGTATATGCAGAAATAATCTTTTTAAAACAGGAAAATCCCCTTTTAACCTTTAGAAAAACCCTCTCTTCAAATTACTAGACGCCGTTGCTTCTGGAATTACTGGGTGAGTGTAAAAATAGTCTATAAGAAGAAAAAGCGGATACTCATTTTCTCTCCTTTGAACGTGAATGTTAGATTCAGTGGGAAGGGGGAAGGGGAGGGGTGCGGTGTGAATAATTTTTATTTTTTACCCCGGGGATCCATTAAACCGGTGAAATACGGTTCTATTTCCAGCCTACAGATATAGGGAATTTTAAAATGACTGTTCAATATGGACGCAAAAATCCATTTTGACTCTAAAATTTGTAGATAGAATTGTCAATTTCTAATCAATAAATGATCTTAATCGCAACTATTTTTTGCAACCAGTTTTTTTACATAAGGCATAATGATAATGTTTTTTTTCCGATATGAACAAAATTTAATCAGGGTCATGCTTGGAAAACTTCTGGTATTTGTATAACTAGATAGTAGCTTCACGGAATAAAGAGATTTCTGTCTGATTAGTGCTACTAGTACTAACTAATACCAGTGCATTGTTATAACCACCACGCGATTTGACAACCACAATGACTAAGCCTCTCAGTTTATATAAGGATTTAGTGTTTGTGTAATAGCAGATTGACGAGGTCAACGTTATTCGGAAACAATTGCTGAATTTTATTACTGGTGTAATCGCTAATTACAGAATAACCGAATAGCAGACATATATCTGCATCAGTCGATTAGAATTTACTATTCGAATCTTTGAAAGAAAAACGTGATAATTTGAGTTTTGGACAACTTGAAAGATTTTGTTTGGTTTTGGAATTTTGATGCCATTTCTATCTTCTTTTATAAAAAGAGCTCCCGTATTGCTGAAGAACTAAGTTAGATATTATACTTACTAAAGGCGTAAACTCGCTAGTTACTGATTGAGTGCCTAATAAACGATAACCAATCAACTGAAAATAGTCTTACATTTCGTTAATGGAAATTCTAAATTGAAATAACAAAGAAACCAAGTCATTACCGCTGTTCCTAGCTGGTTGATGAAAACATTCAAACAAAAGTAGCCAACCGAAATAATTGGATATTGTTTATCAGTTTATAAAATTTTTGTTGCTTTGAGAAACAAAATTTAATATTCTATATTGCTAAGCTTCGAACAAAAGTTCATATTCAGTTCTACATGTGAAAAATAAATACATTCATTATTTGAAAAGAAACATCGTTTTTCATTTATTTTAGTAAATTCACTTCTCACAAAAAACAGATTAATTTTTTCATTGGTTTTATTATGCGACATCCTCTTCTAGACTAGTCTTTGTTTTCGAATAATCATTTTATTTCCCTAGTCTACTGAAAAAAACGTGAACAAACTGCCATAAAGTGCAATCACCTTGCATCCTAGCCAATTCCAAAAAGATTTCACCATTTATTACTGATTTGAGACCATTCAGCAGAGCTGTCTAAAAGCAGACAGGTTGAAAAACATTTATTTCAGTTGTCAGTGGTTTTTTGTGAATGCTTTTTTGTTTCAAAGATACCAACGTGAAATTTTTGCTAGAAAACAGCATTTTTTTCGATTTTACTAAAAAATGGAATGAATTAAGCGAAGAATTATCAAGATAAAAAGGTTTTCTGATATTAATTTTGTACCCCAAAATTATTTTATCTTGTCAGTCTGAGCCGCGAGCTGTAGTCTTTAATTTGGCCAATAGACGGTTGATCTGCTGATTAACAGTCTTCTTTTTGGGATACTAATTTAGATAGAAAAAAGTGAAAAGCCTTCAGCCTTTTGTTGTACATCCCGTCAACGAATTGGAATTCTCCATTGCCAATTTACGAAGTATATATTTGCTATTTTTTATCGCGAATTTATTTATTTCTGAACTCAACTCAAATCGCTATTCGTTGGAAACACGTTTGTTTTCCATCTTTTGAGTTTCGTTTGGAATTCAAGTTTATTTTATTTTCTTTTAAAAAAATTTAGTTACCGAAGCTAGTTTTTTATTTGATTTTGAATTTACACTGCAATTTAACCTTTCCAAGTCAAAATATCCAGTTGTATCAAGACAATCAAGTTTCAAAAAATCATAATATATAAATAAAATAGAACCTTTCTTTCTTCAGTCTTACTTGTTAAAGTATCGAGAAAAATTATCTTCCCAAAATGTGGTGGGATAGCGAAAGTATAAATTCAATTTACGAACCAACTAAAAGCACCGTGAGCATTCATTTGAAGAAGGAAAAAAGTCGTTTCATGAAGGAAAAAACGGACTACAGTACTTGTGTTCCTAACGGAAATAACTCCGAAAACGGCTTTGAGGGTGAAAGTTTCAGCAAAAACAAATTTCAGAGAGACAATAGTAGCTGCAACTGTAAGTTTGCTGAGCCCGTCTTTGTAGAGACCTTGAATAGCAACGGTATCGAAGAGGAGGAAATGACGCGCGAATCGGCAGTGTTCGAAGACGAGATGCCGTCATCGCCATTTGTGAAGACGCCGACAATGAGAAGCCGCGCTTATAGGTATGTTCTATTTTTTTTGTTAATTCGGTACATCTCTGGTCAAAAATATCAAGCTGGGCGGATTTAAAGGCAGAGTCTTCTCATCATGTGAAAATTTCCCCTTGTCCTTTTTTGACGGACCCTGAATTTTTTATAATTCCCCGAAATTAACTAATTTTGACGGGAACGGTGCGCCGGAAAACGTGGCTTCTTAATCTGCATCTTTCCAAGCAGTGCTTTAAATTTTCATTTATTCTGCTCTTTGTACTGCGTACATCAATTTTTAGGTTTCTTTATTGGTTAAAGGTAACCCCGGAAATCCTTATGGTTTCATTTTTTACCTCTTTAAAAATCTTAAATTCTCGCATGATCTGAAGCTTTCATCTACAGCTCGGATAATCTTTTGTCACAGTTTTCTTGGCTTTAGCTCATGTTTACCGTGTTTCATTAAGATATGAGCCTTCAATCTGACAGATCGTCGATAGCAGGAAAAGCTATGTAATTCTAGTAAAGTATAGTCACGTGTCGAAATCAGAGGTCAACTGTCTTCTTGAGAAGAGAAAGATTTCAAATACCTCCAATTGTACTATTTTACTCACTGGTTATTGTTTCAACCTTTCTCATCATGTATAAGTAAGGATCTTTGACATAGTTTGGGTTTTTTGCGTGATTTGAGACACCTCGTATTAAGCTCGATGAAAGATCTTGTGGTATAATTTTACCGCTTTTCAGTCGTGTTTCGGAATGTAACTAGATGTTTACACTTCCGTTGTCAACTATTTTATAATCTGAAACTATTTTTTCCATGTTTACAAATTTGTCTTATTAATGAAGTTCGCTTTAAAGCTTTTCTTTGCGATTTTTTCTGCCGTAAGTTATATGTGGTGTTCGAGCTATATCAGCGCGCAATCTGAATTGAACATGAATTAAATGTGGGGCGATTTTTTCCGACGTTTTTTTTTATTTTAAGGGTATATGCCGAAATTTCATCGGTTTGATCCCCGGCCTTTTTCAAATCTCGCTTTTTTCATGATTCTATATAAACTTAAAAGATTTGTTCCATGAAGTTTCTGAGAAAACTTCAGTCATTATCGATTACCGTTACTGGCCATAATCCAGACCAGACAAATGATTTTTTCTTGGCTGTGAAAAGTTTCGATAGTTTTTTTTTTCTATTATCGTATGCATTTTTGTATGCTCGCCTCCTGTCAGCATCGCGTACTCGATTTTTAATTTTCTCCCTTCATCGCTTACTTTTTTTAAGTTTGTTCTCAAAACCTTAATCTCTTGCACCCCCTACTTTTTACCCCCAACATCACCCCAGACTTCCGCGAAATACCATCCTTCATTTTCTATACGTTACACATACTATTTTCGTGTCGTATTGCCTCTATGTATCAAATTTACGACTGAATCATAAATTATAAACCCCGACTCAATCAAAATGTAAAAGACGGTAAAGTCACTTTTCTCCTATTTTTTTCCACGTTTGAACTTTGAATTCTATCAGCGCTAAAAAGTTTTCTAAATTTCCCAAATTTGCTATAAGTAACCAGTGAGTTTCTTTCTTATCTTGTATTTGATATTTTCAAAGATCAAATAACCAAAGCAAGCTAATTTGATTTCAATCATCAAAGTTTTTTTTAAGTTTCCCACAAACTGATGAAAATGTTAGCTTTTCCCGCTCACGAAATGGTGCAGTAAGATTTTAGTTTTCTACATTTTGTCAGTTAACTTTCTGCGAAATATTTTTATTTAATGTCGAAACTTAAAATGTGTTTATCGGTTTGGTTTTATTTTAATATGAGATTTTCTGCCACGAAACATAAACAATTTGGTTCAGGAAGCGTTTATTATTATGATTATTATTAGAGATTTTATGGAAAAGCAATGGGTTTTCTCCGTCAATTCAATGAGCGTTTTAGTAGTTGATCAATAGTTCGCTATCTGCAAGTGTCACACAAACACAAAAATGTGAGTGAGCGCGAATTTAACGGGTTGTAACTTCTGTTGAACACGGCCGTTAATTTCGCCTGAATACGCTTCCGGCAGCAATAGACAGTTCACCTTCAAATATCTCTAATAATACGCATTCTATGCAAAATTTATAGCCTTGACCAATTTGTACTGGTCCAGCGATAGCCGCAGTAAAATTAAAACCATGTGGTTCAGAAAATAGAGCTAGAGGTTATGTACTAGTTGTTTTGTAGCTAGAGCAAAGCAGCGTTGCGTAGATGATTAAGAATGTCCACCTATCTATTCGATCATACCTTACCGTATGGTATGACAGTAATGCTGCAATAATCTAAATAAAGTAATTTTTTTAGAGGGACGCCAACTCAATTTTTCAGAGGAACGCCAACTCCTTTGTTCAAAGTCGATATTAAAAAATTACGGTAGGGTTGAATTTTAAAACTTAAAATTTTAGCATGGATGATATCAAGCAAGATTGTTACCGATTGTAGTAAACCTTCAGAGAACAATTTTATTTTGTTTTACTCTTATTTTTTTCAAATTGATAACGGTTTTAGCGAAGTTGTTAAAATATAAATGTATTCTGATACAATTGATTGCTTCTGCAACTGTTAACAAAATCTGTGGAATGCGCTAAAATTCTAGCGCATTCCAAAGATTTTATTAGCAGTTGTAGAAGAAATCAAGTGTATCAGATTCCCATTTTGAAAATCTGACTTCTCAGGCCCATTTAGTTTCCGAGATATGAAGTTTAAATGGTTTTTCGAACTTTTTTAAAAAAATTAAAACATAAACAATTTTAATTTGAAACTCCCAACGTTATAGTGGGAGTGCTCTCAGAGGTTGCAGATCTTGTCTCAAAGCTATGAGCTATTCGAGCTATGAAGTTTTCACCGCAGATTTTTCAAAAGTGTTATTTCAAGAGCGTTGTTTCAAAATTTGAAATTGTCCACCTTTGCCGTAAACTAGGTGATGTCAGCTTACAACCAACAGTTGCAGATGTGGCCTCGATCCCAAAATTTCTGTTTAATTTTCGAAATAGACGTTTGATTTTTCAAAAGTTTTCATTCAACTAAGATTCAAAAAGAAAAAATTAAACGATTGATGGCATAAAATGATATGCGTACGAGCTAATGAAAAAAAAATTACGTTAAACAAGAATATCATTAATGAACTTAGTGATTTTGCAAATAAAATCGTTTCCAACTTTTTATACATGGAAAGTGAAGTGGTCTGCTGTCGGCCCTTGTAGGGTTTTGTGTCTGAGGTTTAAAAAAGAAGACCTGAAACCCCTGGTGGTTTTGTAGGTTTGACCATTTTAGTTTTCAAAGCACCTTAAAATTGAAATTATTTTTATCGTTCAATTTTTGGAATTAAAAGCGTTGTCGGATGCCCCAGTCTATTGTTACGATTGGATTCATTTCGTTTTTTGATATATTTTATAAATAACCAATTTTAACGTTAATCTGTTTGAAGCACCGGAGGTGCGTTACACGCTTGTCTCATGAAACTTTAAAAGTCAATCAAATTTGAACAACTAAAAATGATCTTTTTGATCGTTTGCTGCGTCAGTGAGCCGCGTATTTATGTTCTACTCGTACTTGTACTATTTTAAGCCTATTCTTGAAAAGGAAACTTTGTCATAATAAAAACAACGAGTCATTGTGTAAAACTTTAAACAACACTGTATACTCCATGATATTTGATCGTTTGCAGCGTGAGTGCGAAGAGACTGCAGGCGAATATTGGCGTGTTGACCAGTGGGGGAGATGCCCCCGGAATGAATGCTGCAGTGCGGGCGGCAGTGGTCATGGGCATATCACTAGGGGCCAAGGTCTACTTGATCAGAGAAGTATGTTCAGTGTTTTAATCAGATTATAATAATGATAAATGAATTGTTTCCAAAATATATATCTAACATTTTATAATTCTAATAATAATAAATTGGTTCCAAAACATATCTAACATTTCATCATTTTTTCACACCTAACATTTCATCAAGATCTTTAACCCCACTTCTGGGCCCAATCAATTGTAATCTATCACCCTACTATTGTTTTTGAATTAATACTGATAGATACTGCTCGATTCTGATTGGCTAGAACCAAAATAACCTCGTCCTCCCATCTGAACAGAGGTGGGAGTGGTAGGGTGTTGTGAATTTGATCTCAACTTTCCATTAAACCAAAATACCGATCTTGACCTGTGCGATTGGATGTTCTTCAGTTAACTGTTTTGAATGCAATTGATTTAATATACATATGTGTATGCTAATTTGGTAAGTTGAGATGATTTGAACAAAACCGCTGCCTCTCAATGCAGAGGTAAATGTTTTGAAGCTTGCTGTGATCGGTGTATGTTGTTCAAGTTCTCGGCTTCGGTTCACAGCCCACAATCAAACCCCTGAAATTATGTTTTTTTATCAAAAAACAAATGGCAATATTAATCGACTTTTGGAAAAATCTTGAAATTTTTTGGAAAATGGCAATATTAATCGAAGTTTTGGACAGCATTTACTCGGCATTAATTTTTTCAAAACTTTTATCTAGAAAGCTCCGTTGTTATTTTGTTATTTTTTCAGTTTAAATCGCCGTGGTTGCACTATAGTAATTGTTGTTTATTTCATTTTTAAAATCAAATTTTTCGTAGCACTTCGTAGTTTTGGCAAAGAAATTTAGTTTATTAGATAAGAGCTGTTTTGTTTGTTATTTTAGACTACCAACAAAATCAACAACAATTCTTTGAATAATAACAAAACAAGATACTGAATTTCGACAATAACAATCCGATTACATATAACTGTCAATCGTGGAAATTTCTGTTGGAATTTCCAAACATTCAGGATTGTATAGTCTGGATTATCGGTTATCGGCTTGGCGTTGGAGAGCGCTGAAAAGATTTGTTTAATATATTTGGACTTATTTGCTTTTAGGCATTTGTCTTGTATTCTAAATTTCATGCTCAGTTTTCCATGTAGCCCTTGGGTTGATCTCTTTTGAATTTAAATTCTTGTTGCATGTGCGGAACGAATAGCCCCTATAAGTATTTTCGTAAATTTATGAAGGAGCTATTTTTTTTCATGCCCATCAAAGTGATACGTACACTCAATAATCCAAGCATGAAATTATAAAAAAAAGCGGCGTTTTGATAATTGAAATGAGCAGGCTCTAACTTCTCGTTGCTTCACCGTCGCCTGTATAGCAGATGAAGATTTACACCATAGACCAAAATTGGCTATTTTTACATGGAATTGACTGACTGGCATATAAATATTAGCGTTGTTTATGTATGTGAAGTGAATGTCTTTGGCATCTCTAGAAGTATATAAATAAAAAATCTCATCTTTACAGCCTATCAGCCAGATAACCAATGTCATCTCGAAGCATTCTGTTGCCTTGTTTGATTTTATGATGTTTTTCGCTGGTTTAAATTTTGTTTTTGTTGTTTAGGGTTACCAGGGTATGGTGGAGGGAGAAGGGTTCATTGAGGAGGCGAGCTGGTCAAAAGTCAGCGACTGCATGCACGTCGTAAGTACAATACTTCTTGCCACAACTTTGATTTGAGAACAGAAACTATACCATTTTAAGCCAGTAGAAACGTAAGCAAAGCCTAACACGCCAGAAATTAATGGAAAAAATTACCGAAGAAAGTTTCTCCAAAAACAAAGTATTGCATGTTTTTGTTCCGACTATTGAAAAGTGTTTTAGTTTTTACTTTTTTCCATGCAAAAGAAGGTACCGCAAATTTTTAAATTTTTATCGGACTGAATTGAGTGATATATCATATTAAAGTCCTTTCAGTCACGATTCGAACAGCATTAAAAATCCTAGTGTCGAGAAAAACCGGTTTGAAATTTTTGATTTTTCCCTTTTCGAGCGAGTTAAGTGAGTTTTATATGAAAATAAGCAAAATGGGCTAAACAAATTTTGAGTTTACTAAAACAAAGCTAGTTTTGGCAGCCTCATTTAGCGCTTCTCTGGAAAAAAAAACTTTCAAAAATATTTGAATATTTTAGTACAAAAATAAGATAAAATTGCAAATTTTTTTTTGGCTTGTGGCTAATTCACTAAATTTCTACACGTTCGTATAGTTCTATCATCACGCGAAAGTACAAAATAAAGACACAAACTTGAATTTTTTTTTTGAAAAAGTGATCTGATCCTTCTCTGCTACAGCAACCGTCTATCCTTGTTTTTAATTGTAAACGAAAGAAGTTTTGATTATTAAGGTCATGTAGTTTTTTTGGAAAATTAAAATAGGCAAAATGGAGGCGTTCATGTTGGTCTTGTAGTTTTTTGTTCATTTTTTAGTTCAAGTTTTTTGCGGTGTGCTTGTTTCTCAAATGCTAACATTATGCTAAGTAAATAATGCTTTGTTAATTATGCTAAGTAAATATGCTTTGATAACATTGTTTATCACCGTCGCTTTGATTAATTTTTCTTTTTTCAAAAACAATGTCTGAAAGTTTGTTTTTGCTCGAATCTGCTTTCAACCTTTTGATTACACTTGCGGACTTTAGTGAGCGTTAGTGTTATATTACGACTATTCTTCTGTTCTAACCGAAGTCGCTAATGTTGGTGCAACCTTAGGGGCACCCTTACGGCTTTTTGATAGCATTTGCTTTGACAATCAAATAGCAATAAATTAACATAGTTGATGCATTTTTACCCTTGCGATCAGCATAGTGTTTTATTACGAACCTTTTTTTCTACCCTAACTCACAAATAAAAGTGTTTATTAAAAGTGTTCTTTTATTTGAAAATTTCACTGTAGGAATGGAAATTGCATAGCATTTGGTCTCTGCTTTATTTGTTGCGGCTAGTGATCTGTGTCTGTTAGGCTTCCGTGGCTAGTGTGTGAGACTCTTAATCTCTTGGTCGCAGGTTCAAATCTCAGAGGTAGCCGAATTTTTGCTAATTTTTATTATTGCCGTTTATTAGCTTTTTATTATTGCCGTTTATTTATATTTTTTATTGCCGTTTATGAGCTGCTTTTTGTCGTATTCTCGCAAGTGTTTGCGAAGCGAAGCTTCGTTTCTGATTAAATTCATCAAATTAACCGAAAAAACCTACTTGTTGTAAACAACAAACATAAAAACTTGATTTCAGAAATTTTCTAACTCAAAATATCTCGCAATTTTTTTTAAATGCATGATTTGTACATAATGTGGCTTTATGTTTTTCAATTTATTACATGCGAAATAAGTGTGGATGCTTGTTATATTCCCATTTTTTATTTGCTTAGTTGTCTATTTGTTTTTTGTGCCACTTTTGCTGCAATGCATTGGCAGTTTGTTAGCATACGTAGCTGTTTCATTTTGGACTAGTGTTTGCCGGCTGTTCGTGGCCGAGAGGGTTTGAAGCGCATGCATAGCAAAGTTTTACTAATTCGAGGCTTATTTCTATCTTTTTGCAGTTTATAAAGCTTCGCCTGTGTGTTACCTTTGCGATAAACAAGATTTTCACAACCGGGCACTAGACTTCTTTCCCGTGAATAACCTGGCTCATAGAATGGCCGAAATGCTAATCAACGTTTGCTTACGTGCCTTGGTCCAGGGTAGGTAATTTTTAACTAAGGCTTATGTTTTTCCTACCATGAAATTTTTACTGTGAAAAATAAAAGAAAATATTGGTAGATCTGTTTTTTCGACTTTTTGTCTGTTTTTATATTGCGTTGTGTCGCAATTGAATAGAATCTCCGCTTAGCCTGTAGGTTTTTGATTTTTTTAAAAGTTCAATTACCAAATGAAAGGCAAAAAAAATGCGCCCAATAAAGAAAATGAAATTCGCACAAAACAACGTGATTGAGTTTTAGTTTCAAGTGTGGTTTGAAGTTAAAGTATGAAAACCCAGTTGCTAAATTTGATAAGTAAGAGTTGCAACCATAAAGTTTCTGTGGTTCAAAGAACATACAAGCTCTAAATTTGTTTCTTCCAAATTCAAATAGCATTTCTTGCAGAAAGATTTTCAACAACGATGTTTTTTTCCGGCTTCCTTCAGCTCATTAACTTTTCGAAAGAAACAACTTATGTTTGGTTCTCATCTCTTCTCTCGCTTAACATAATTCGAATCAAAAATCTGTAGCGGCTTTTTTGCGCTTATATGCAGTTTGAGTATCTATTTTTATTGTTTCTCTCGTATGTTGGTTATACTTTTGTCTCTCAATGATCATGCTGTACTCTGAGAAAAAAATTATTACTTCCAAAATAGTTTGTAACGTAAGATCAACTGAAGTCCAAATGTTATTAGGAAAGAAAAAAGTGCTTTGTAATTTGAGGGGTGAAAATGGGAGAGTTTTTCAAATACTTTTTTTACACAAACTGATTGTATCAACATTAGTTTGCTTTTTCTCAACCGTGGACGAAAATTTGTTTGCTCGATTTCGTAACGCACTTCAATCTCCATTTGATTAATTACTGTTTGATAGAATCAGGTATAATGAAAATGAATGTGATCAGGTTTTTCATTTGTTCGATTTTTTTTAGAGACGCTTTGGAATATTTTATCTCTTTTTTCAATAAATTTAGCTTTTCTCAAAAACTACTCTATCGATTTTTTTGAATGGTGCAGTTGGAAGTCCGCGCACTACCCTGTGTGTCTACGTTATTCTCGAGGCTCTTTTTACCTTACCCCACTTTCTACAGCCTTCGAAAAAGTGTGGGCGGGGAATTTTTTGACTGTTTTTGGATTTTGAATTTTTTTTTAAATTACCAGCTCAAATCTTTAATTGAATGGATAGTAAAGGCTGTGGGAAGCTCCCTTGCTCAAGTGGCTACGTCCAACTTTTTTTACACAAAGAGTTATGGCCCTCAGAAAAGTCAAAAGTCAACCGGTTTTTGAAACTTTTTGACTTTTTTCAAAAGCTACCCTCTTGAATCTCATATTTTGGTTTCAAATACTTTTCGAGTATTGGAAAGCTCCCCTGCATAGGGGCTCGCCCACAATTTTTCTGAACAAAAAGTCATGACCCTCAGAAAAGTCAATTTTTTTTAAACCATTTTTGAAACGGACTTTTCTCAAAAACAATTCCCAAATCTGAAATTTATGAAATTTGGGAAATATCCCAAATCTGAAATTTTGGTTTCAATGGGTAAAATGGGTTGTGGGAAGCTCCTATGCATAAACTATTTTGCCGAAATTTTCTTTACACAAAAAGTTATGACCCTCGGAAAAGTCAATGTTTTGATATTTTGTCTTTTTTTTGAAACTTTTTGACTTCTCGAAAACAAACAAAATCTGATATCAAGGGTTTAATAAGGGCAACAGGTTGTGAGAAACCTTCGTGCAAAAGATGCTACGCCTTAGTATTTGAACAAAGAAATGTTTTTCTGAGAAATTCCTAAAATTGCAAAAATTTTCACGCGTATGTTAATAGAGCAACAATTTAGTTTTTGGGTGAAGCCCAATTGTTACACAAGCAAAGCTTTTTTTTCTAACCAAGTCGCAAATAAAAGTGCTCATTTGGTGGCACTTTTGGTATAATTCAATTAAATCATATTTAAGCTTATTTAAGAATAAAATTTTTAATAACATATGTTGCTGCTTTATTTTTGGATGGTGTTTGAAAAAAATTATCATGAAAGTGTATGGGATTTGATGTTTTTCGTTTTTTTTTGCTGCTGCTTTTGAAAGTTTTGCCCTTATCGCAGAACTTTTAATTTTTCTCAAAAACTGCTGTACCGATTTTCAAAAAAAAATGAAACCAATGGAAAAACCGGCAGCTTTTTTGTGCCTGCATACTTTGATAGTTTCTTTTCTCTTTACCTCATCACATGCTTCGAAAGTTTCAATAGGGGGTTTTTCGGCCTAGTTGTTTTGATTTTTTCACGTTCTCAAATATTAATTGCACTATTCTGAGAAGAGGGCTTCAATAAAAACAATTATGGGGATCTCCTCTTCTCAAGCGGCTATTCTTTAAATTCGGTAGAAAAAAAATTTGATTAGTTTTTAAAACTTATCGTTTTCTTAAAATCTACCCTTCCAGATCGGAGATTATGGGTTTAAACGAAAGAAAAATCAGTTATGCGCATCTTGCCTGCGCAAGGGGCTATGCTCTGTGTTTTTTAAGAAATTAATATAGCTTAAGAAAATCTCAAATTTTTGAAATTTTGCCCGTTTTTCGAAACGTTATTCTTTTTTACATTTGCGATCAGTTTACTGTATTATTACAAACGTTTTTTTTTTCTAGACTTACTCGCAATTAAAAGTGTTCAATAAAACGTTCATATATTTGAAAGTTTCACAGTAGCATTGGAAATTGCATAGCATCTGTTCTATGCTTTATTTGCGGCGGCTAGTGTTTGAAGCCTATTAAGCTTCCCTGGCTGAGTGTTTAGTTTGCGAGAGTCTTAATCACTAGGTCGCAGGTTTGAATCTCAGAGGTAGACGAATTTTTTCTTCTGCTTCAAAAGTGAACCTGCTGGTTCTGAGGTTAATAGTTCCTTAAAATAATTATGTTGCTTAGATGTTCCCTGCGTCATCTGGTTGACCCTGTTGTTTTTTTGTAGAAAAGCTGTTTTGGACTTTGG